AAACCACTTGAAGACCATGGTCCTGCCTGGAGCATCATCCCCTATGTTCTTCTTCATCTCTTCGAACGCCTGTTGCGGTTTCAAACCGCTCCGAAAATGGTTGAGGAGGATCACTCGTTTTTGTTCCGCCGAATATTTCACAGTCTCGCGAACATTCACAGCACCGTCTCGCTTCTGACGGGTCTCCATCTTTCTGTACGGTATTAAAAATTCTAAAAAAATGTTGAAAGGGCTCAAGAGATATCAATTGAATGGGCCACAATCACTCATCACTCAATGGCGCCGAAAAATGTGAAAATCCGCAAACTTTCCTACCTCCCCACGTATATTGTTAACTATCAAAAGTAATGCTGGGTAATTATCCACCTCCTTCTGGTGTGTACTGGCACGCACGTGTCACTGTGTTGCGCATCACTTCGTGAATCATGTCCACGGGAATATTGATTTTTCAAGTTCGATGTTTTGGCTTAATTATTTACAGGACCCTGGTCTGTTTTTGTAAATGCATGACGTTGAAATGCCCCATATACAAATATTGGGGGCTTTAAAGTCAAGACTTCTGACTGTCACCAAAATCTCTATCGAAATGAGACAGTTCAGAAACAATTTTTTTTTATCAACTGCATTGACGCGAGGTTTTCAGATGCCCCATCCCGTTGGAACCAATTTTTTTAATTGATTAAATCCCACCTCCTAATGCTTAGGGAAACAGACAGAAGAACCTCAGTTATGTTTGAGCGATACACCAGGTGTCGAATGAACTTCTCATCCCAAAACTTAACAAGATTTCAACTCTCAGCGCACTGAAAATGGGTTAAATACTTCAACAGCTCCAAAAATGTCGACTCTCAGAGTTTTTAAAGATAGCTTAATTTTTCTTTGCCATTCCTCCTCACGATGCAAACGTGGACTCAGAAAGGAACCACTCGGCTGTTGAGTCTGCGAAAGGGATTCTCCTTGTGCAGTATAACTTCAAGCACATGTCTGATAAAAAGATGTTCACGGTTACTTACTGAATCATATTCAGGAAATGCATTAACAGAAAAGTAAGCATGGGCGCCGAAAAATTAGATATATATATTTCTTAGTATTTTTAATAACTTAGAAAACACATGCAGAGGAATTTCTCGTGTCTTGCTCATTTTAGCCATGGAACAGGGAACCTTCATTATCCTATAAATAAATATTTATCCTATAAATAAATTATCCTATAAAGAAAAAATAAATAAATATTGTGATTAATGAAGGTGTCCTCCTTTTGGTTCTCCGAAATATGGTAACCCTATATTTATGCAATGCTAGAGTGTACATCCAACGCTGATGAAATTAAACGACACTCCCTGAACGTTCCGCAATGTTATGTTCACTGGGTGTTAAGATATCCTCCTCTTGGTCACTGTATCTTTATTTAGCTTTGGATAGACAACCCAACAAACCCAAAACAAATCTTCAATCTTGATAAATGAGGGTTTAACATTTGATTTTGGATAAAATGTCCACACTACTCCTGCTTGCCTCATTCAGTGATTCGTTTGTAGTTCAACACGGATCCGACACCTTTGACTCTAATATGGCTGCCTCCATGTAAACATGTTTCGCGCACTGAGCTAAGAAATAGAACTGGAGATGGCGCGCCCATAGGAGTAGCATAGGGAAAACGGGGGCATTTTGAAGCCATATTGGTTGGGTCTAGGCTAAAGCGGGCCTGCGGTGCACATTGGCCGAGCAATGGAGCAGGTACCACGGGAACATTGGAGCAGCCCTTCTGAATACGGAAGCATGCCCTGCCAATACCCGTCAACACCTCTACCATGTACCTCGTGGTCGCCCTTCGTTTCCTTTAGCCTATGTTTACCTTTGAACGTTCACTCGAAGTTCGTTTAACTTTATGCCTTAGACTTCCTGTGAAATATGTCGACTGTGATGATGCAAGGGCGGCGTAACGTTATCGCCTTAGTAGGCCCAGCAATTTCAGCAAAGACAGGCCTGGAACTTGGAGGCCCACTCGAGAAATACGAGACTCGCCCACGTGAAAGAAGAGTTCCGACAAGACGTTATCAGCCCTATGATACTCCCCGAGAATTACTAGGCCTCCAGTACCATGACTGCCTGCCATCATGATCACGACAGCAAGAAAACTGGGATGGGAAATTATGAAAATCCCATTGTAGTGAATGGAGAAGAGCCACCGCAGACCCAACTAGATGGCTTCCAATTGCCCCAAATCGACAGCAAGAAAACTGGGATGGGAAATTATGAAAATCCCATTGTAGTGAATGGAGAAGAGCCACCACACACCCAACTAAGATGGCTTCCAATTGCCCCAAATCCATTGTATTGTGCGCCATCTCCAGTTCTTTTTCTTAGCTCAGTGGTTGTCGCCATAACAGCGACTTGCAGCCACCTAGCATGGCTGACACTAATATCTAGTTCTTACCTGGAAAGAGAGATGGCGAAAGGAGCGGATATAAAATGCACCGTTTCCGGAGAGCACTTCTAATCCCCCCCTATTACTGGAGAATGGAGAAAACAACTTCCAGAGGATCTGCTTTAAGGTGTTACACGAATTCACCCACGTGGAAGACGTCACTACTTGCAATTGATGGAAGCTCAATCCGAAAACAGAGCACGAGGCAGCAGTTGTTGAGCAATTGGAGTGTAAAATTGGAGTGTAAGTGCAAGCTCGAGAAATACCCTCTTACTCCCAAAAACGCTCGGAAACTTGTAAGAGTGTATTTAAAAGTCAACAATGGGTTGCAAGAAGATTCAGCGCACTTTATTAGAAAGTATACATAAGTATTTCGCACAGGAGCACAGATCCGGAACGAAGACGCTTAATGTCGTTGAAAATGACTGCCATCGACCGCCAGTCACTCAAGGAGGAACCCTGAAACTAAGCAGCAGCGCTCATGTCAGGAGTGATGCACCTGACAAACCTCGATGATTCGTCTTGAAGTTTTAAAACTGTATTTGGCCCTGCAGCATGAATATACATTTTCCGGAAAACTCCAACAGGAAAATGACCAGTGGTGCGAGAATGAGAGTCGGTGACGGGTGCGCAGATTTTTCTGCGCCGCAGTGGGTAAGGAACTTCATTAGAACTTCCTTCTCCTGTCACGCAATGCTCTTGACGGAGAGAAAACAAAATGTGCTAAGGCCCCGATAAACGAGGAAGGTTCTTGCTGGCGAATCTTTGCTTACAATGATTTGCCATGAGGCTTGCCTCGTCTATACACGCGCCTGTTAGCTAGCTCATGAATAATTTATTCACTTTCCTGTGGCAGGTCAGGACCACAGACCGTTCATGTCAGGAACCCCTTATGGTTCCTTGAGCATGTACCTGTAATTAACTCCATCGCCTTCCCAGCTAAAAAGCGTAATAATTTATTCATCACCTCCAGGTGAGAAATGATTCACACCCTATACATATTTGCAAGAAAATTAAGTCCCGAAGATTTTTTTAAGTCTCTACTCTCCACAATCGCAAAGCGTAGATTTTGAGTTTTTGCTCGCTCCTGCCGTCTTTACAATTGTTCCCATCATCGCTTCATGGACTGCGAGGATTCCAGAGACACAATCAGCATGATACATGTTTGGGCTTAAATTATTGGACCAAAGTTTATGAAAATACTTTCTTTTACGCAAGACGCGTGAAATAAAATTCATAGTCCATAATAACTTCATAGTGCACAGGAAGAGTGACGACCATCAGTACCACATACCAGCTGAAAGTCATGACGAATTCGAGAAAGTATTGCTACGGGTGCCAAAAGAGACTCGCATAGGAAATCCTTACAACTACGATTGTACTCATGAAAACTTGAACGATAAAAAAGTTTTCTATGCGATATTTTTCTGCTTTCCATGCAGTTCAAGAAATAGGAAAACGTAAATATTCGTTGGAGGATAATGGACCATTTTCTGTGAACTAATACAATTCAACGATTTCCTTTTCATGATTATCATGATATTTTTCCAAGCATCAGTATGAAAAGCCATTCACAAGGTTTCACTTTGGCCTTTTGGCCAGAAGTGGATCCTGACGGTTTCAAAATTTATGGTGGCAAGGACAAGCTAATTAACAGGGTGTAAGTGACCATGAGCATAAACTTCCACAATTCCCAGGCACCTATACTGCAAATGAATGGAGGAAAGGGGGGGGGGGAAGAGAAATTCTCTGGTTCTATCTCTTCCTATGGGCGTGCAACACGGAAACGGATTCCACCATGGTGGAATCTGTAGCAATGCAGCATGCTTGATCCTTTCTTCCCGTATCGCGTCTGTGCTTCAAACATCCGTCGAAAAAGGCTCACCACGGGGAAACGGGACTGACTTCCGGTGAATCCGAAAGCTTGCAAGCACATGGGAGAAGTGAAAGTAAGGAAAGCATGGTAAACTGTCCAGAAGAACCCACTCACTTTCGAATAGGCAAAATCCGAAATACATCCAGTCCAACCTAGTGACTGAAACTTTCGTTCTTACATGGCGCTATTCATGTCTCGTATATGTTGAATATGAAGTTGAAAACTTCCTGTTGCTGTGTTATTGCAAGTTGTAAGAATAATCACGATACTTTAATCTCGCTGTCATTCCATGACATATACAAGACATGTACTCGCATATAAATAGCATATTTCGATTAAACAAAGGAGGCCCACTGAAGAAGTAAAGGTGGGGATGCATGCAGGAGGCCTATGGATATACTGTGTAGTTTCTACCCACCACTTGAAGTCCGGCGAAGGAAACTTTACAGAGAGGTGCATGTGTAGTTAGAACCGGAACCGGAGTAACAAGTTCACTAAGGAGGTTAGAGGCTGAAGAGGACAGTGGGTGCAACAGAACGGTCATAGTTTCAAATCCATATTGTTCGTTCCTATTTTGGATCTCCCGAAAGAACCTTTGTGTATATGTCTAATGGGAAAGCTTACTTCCTAAATAGACCTTAATCTTTGAGGTACAACTGCCTTCTCAACAAAGACTTTAAAACCTTCGACTCCACCAGGAGCTCCTAGCCTTACACAAGGAGTCCTTCCAGATGGTCCAAGAATTCTGCAAGTTTCCCCAGTTCTTTCCTAAGATCCTGCAAGAAGAAAGGGAAGCATATGACGATATACGCAGAGTACAATACTTTTGAAAATGAGTAAAAACACATGAGGCTGGAAATAATGACAGACAAAAAATAATTTGACTGACTTGTCCTTGAGAATTGGTTTGGGCGCATTACGTGACGCCAGTGCGTCAAAACATTTTTAAATGCTAAATTGGAATATTCAAAGCAGGAAGATTGAATGTACATGGCAAAATACTTATTAAAAAAAGAAACGCATTGAAAAATTTACACGAAAGAACTGATGATGAAAGAAAAAAAAAATATATATATATGAGTATGAACATGAACCCTATAAATACCAGCCTTTCGTTTGGGAAGAGGGAAGGAATGGCTTGATTTTCCTATGGGAAATTATTGGTCCCTTCCACATCTTATTTCGTTTCAACTGTATGTAATAAACGGCATGACGGATGAATATGTTTAAGTGAATAGTAAGGAGAGAGCTCTGCAAGGATATGGCATCTGTATTTGCATGGAGAGAATATGTTTTTAGTGAGATCCTGATGATGTCAGATCGTTTGACCTCCCACTTTCCTTGTCTCCTTTATCTCGTTTCTGTATCATGAAATGATTGCGCTCCATTTTCATGTAAAGTACATTCATAGCAGTGCAAACTTTCCGTTCATAGCGTTTATTTTGATTAAGGGAATATGAAAATCTAATCATTCTATGGAATAGGAGAGACTGTCGGAACCTATTATGCCCCCACCGCTATCCATAGGGTTAATGTATTGCATGGTTGTTCTCCATTGAACAAGAGTGAAACTTGACTCACGTTTCCAATAGAAACTAAAGCGCAAAACTAGTCCTCGACAACTACGAATAACTACAAAAATGATCATTCAAGGGGGATGATAATAATTTCGCATATTCTCCGCACGCATAGGCATAATGTTATAACCTATTGCAATAGAGGCGCACCTTCTTTAAATCTTCATAAAAGAGGAAGTGGAGGTTGGGGGAGTCTCTTCTTTCCCAGGCGTCGAGGACATGTTGATGGAAGGGAGAAAAAAGGAGATTCCCTTCGACGAAGAAGTCCACGAAGTCTGAGATTTTCCCTTGAAATTCGTGATGATGCATCTTCTTCATGTGATAATAATAGCTCACCACCACGTCGTACGGGTTCCGGGCGATGTAGACCACCTTGGATATCTCCATTAGGAAAGGCGGGAGGAAGGCGAAGGGAAGGTGGGACTTGAGAAGACGGCCCGATTTCCCTAGCTGCTCTGCCATGGCCGCTTTCAGGAAACTTCGAGGGACTATAAATGGCTCCTCTGCGCTCTGCGCTATTATCTCGTCTAGCCTGCCACAAAATGTCACTATCACTACTTCAGTTAGTTCACTTAGTAGATACCAAAAAAACCTTCTAAAAAAAATTGTGAATGTGTTAAGAATTTCAGAGATCTGGAATTTACCTTTTTAAACAATTCCTGAACGTTCTTGAAAAAGGATAAAATCATCTGAGGAAAACCTCGCAAAATAAGGATTTATTAACGTGAACACACTTCACGTGGGTACCATCTACGGCTTCTCTGATTATGTAGCCTTTGAGTTATTACCATTTTGAATTTCTTGAAAGCATGCACTATGGTTAGAATTACACTGGCTGCTATAAAAGAATGTCTTGAATATTTACTTCAAGTCTTCATTGTTTACTATTGAAGACTCCTTATCGGTGTCGCAGCTGATGAGGTGCTGCTAATAAATGTTCTCGCCTTGGTGGAAATATCAAAATTGTTCAATTATCACTTTTTTTTGCTGGTATCGGCCGTTTTTGTAAGTTCGACATTTCATTTCTCAGCACCTTTTAAGTGCCTGCCCCCCACATTATCGTAATATCGATTCTTTCTTATGGTTGTTTCGAAATGAGGAAGCCTTCCTTCTACCTTCTGATATGTCAGAGTATTAATTTGTAAACTGTTGACGGAAAAAAAGGTGCCACAATGGGGTATTGACCTTGTCCAATATTGCTAACATCTGTACAGTTCACCACCTGATCTACTCTGATCGGCTGAGTTGTAAATATGCCTGCAAGTAATTCTTAATATCGACTGTATACGACATTTAATTGATGGCGGAAAGCCTCTGCCGTCTATGGTGTCTCCCTGCCATACTTCCCATGAAAATTATGGAGCTCATCTACACCCACTGAGTTCGATTCTCATCCTAACACTGCACAATTTAAAATCTCCACTTTGATCTCAGGAGTAAATCTGATGAGTATCTTGAAGTAAGGAGAAGCAAATTTTCCAGACATATTCCTATCCTCGACTTCCTAAAGGTCGGGTGTCGAGTCCATTTGGAGACGGACTGGAATCCAGAGAAAAAAGAAAAGAAATCGGACGCGAGTTCTCTGTAATTTCTAATTAATAAAAAAACAAAAAACAAACAAAACAGAGCTGCTCCGAGCCTCTCGAGTGCAAATGGCATGTTCTTATCCTCCTCATAGCTCTGAATTCCGTGCTGCGATCATGGTGAACTCTACATAAATGCAAAGCTCTATTTGTCCCCTTTGGCTCAACTTTCTGTATACGACGATTTTTGCAGGTGTCTCGACAAGGACATTGAAGAAAGACGGAGGACTCCGTCCTGTTCGTTGCTTCTCCATCGCTTTTTTTTTTAATTAGCGTACTATGCTTGCATACCTGTAGCTTCTGCACTAATGGGTTTTCCCTGCCAGACATGAGATAATTATATTTTCCACAGGGTTTCCGTGGTGGCCAGATCCTTCCATGTGAGAAGAATCCTTTTTGCCTATTGATGAGTCCCACAGACATTTCAGGGTATGTCTCCCTGATCAAAGAAGCAACGATCCCAATTATCTCAAGACTAGTAACAGGTTTTTCGTACCTGGCACGACGTTGTATCATTTTAGTTCTTGGAGTGCTGTAAGGCAGAGAAACGAGCTGTAACGCAACCGTGACAGACAAAAATGGCGAAGCATTGTCGGGGCATGACCATCACAATTAAATTAAACAGACAGAAGCCATTGCACGTCCGACGATTGCTCCAGGCTTCAGAGTGAAGTGAAAAAGGGAACCTTTGACGTCCATCCCAACCACTTCACGGATAGGCAGAGCATTCTCCACTAGAACGCAGCAATGATATCTGCGGAGACCGTGCTGACTGAAATACTCGTACTTTCCTCAGTCAGGAGTTGGTGACATTGAAGGGAGAAGAAGCTGCACTTGAGAAGCACACTCAGAAGCAGGTGGAATAGAAAAGCAACCTGCTTCTTAACTCGGGGACTTCCACACATTCCCAAGCCAAGGAGAGACCCGCATGTTTCCTATTAAGTGCACAACACACATGACTGGCCATCTCTCCAACGAGAAGAAAGTACCATGAAAAGATTTTGCTTTTCACACCGAAGAGAATCTGTTGAAGCTTGCTGCATCACGTGACGATCTCGAAGATGGAACATCCAACAGGATAATGTGTTGTCAGATGTATGTCGTACGTGCTGATTTTGGCGGTAAGGCACTTCAACTGGTGTTTCCGTTTCTGCCTGACGAGTCCTTGGGTCACCTACCAGTGTCTCCTCGAGGCCTAGCAGAATTTTTGCTGGGATGACAGAATCCTTTGGTCTCCCAACATCATTTACATGGTCTACGAAAGAGCCATGATATCGAATTGAATCGAATCGGCATGTCGAATATACCTTTTAAAGGGGACTCTCAGGCATACATGCCATTCAGACAACCCGCATGACCGAAGAAGCACGCGGGGGCTCATGAAGGGATGATGAACAGAATGAGAAGGGACGAGTGTAAGCCGTTGTGTCTCCGTTTCACCTTCCTATAGTCTAGACTCTAGACAGAGAAATCGAGGGAGACTACGAGACCAAATCATACCCCGAGGATAAGTAAAAATCCAGACGACAGGATACCGAAGAGCGAAATGCCTCCATTCATGAATGGGATTTCTGGCCGACGCTGTATTGACGTATTGAAAAGAATGCTCGTATGCATGTCTGCATGAGGCATCCGTATTCACGTTGCGAATTTACTCTTCACAGATGTTTTTCATTTGGCATCGATATCTCGTAAGTCATCCCTGCTGCGGCGGCCAACTGAGGGTTAGCAACTGGGGCTTGCAATGCACCGTTTCGTCTCTTCTGCTTTGAAGGGCGAGAACTCGCGAATTCGATGGGATTTAACCAAGAAGTGCAGGGGGGGGAGGGGGAGGAAATGAATGGAGTGGGTTGGGTATCGAGGAATATGCACGTGAGCATTTTCCAACACGAAAATGAATTCATTGTCTGGTCCGATGATGGCACAAAGTTCATCAGAAAATTCAGAAAACGCAACTCGTGTGAGACCTGACTTCATTGTCTGGTGGTGCAAAAGTCCATGAGAAAGGACGACCCTTAACCTGACGAGCTGACAAACCGAAATTTTAATTCAGTCTTGCATCAATGAGCAAGTTGCGCCATCGTGAATGAATCAAGAGTGGAATCAAAACAGGCATGTGCTTACAGACGCTAGACAAAAAACAGAAGCTCCAAGACAGGCCAGAAAGTCGACAGATGGAGCTGTTCTGCTCTCCTTCAGCTCATCAGCTGGCCCACTTGCTCTCCCTATTTCCATCTTCTTTGCGAATCCTTTGGAGGGTGCGGGTTAGCGTCATTGCAGAAAGACCTGAGAATTACCTGAAAAAGGTATAGGGTAAACACCCCAGTTCCTGGCCGGTCTCCAGTTGTTGGCCAGTGAGGTTTAAATCCAGCATAACTAGTTACTCTGGTCGTTTTCAAGCATTCTATCAACATATTCTCGTACGAGGACCTATTACTAGTGCTTCCCGGTGTGCACAAAGGGTGACCACTTCCTATGGGAGTCGTATCAGCGTTTCATTCGGAAGGTGTGCGTAAACGGCATGTTTCCTTAACGCTTGCGCAAAGCAATCACGCCGCTTCATCAGCTTCATTTATTGCCAATTTCTCTTGCTGCCGATGAGGTCTCCTGTGTTCCCATTTCCATATCAAATAACCGACTAGATCTGACTCTTAATTATTCATTAATTATTATGAAACTTTAATTACCGGGTTGTCAATACCTGGGAATGTCAAATGCTGCTTTACCTAGTTAGTGGCCACCTAGCCAAAAACTGACAAGGAAATTTTTTTCGTCCCAGATGTTGGCCATACTTATATTAGTGTGATAGAGAAGCACGCGTCCTTGAAACATCCTTGAAAGGGATTCACGCCCCTCCACCTCCTCCCCCTCCTTCTGCGCATGTGGAATATTCCCATGGAACCATGACAATGTGGATTACACGAAGTGCCTTGCTGTCAATGATGCACCCATCTCCTCTCTGACCTTGAAAGACTTCCGGGATATCATTGGTGAACAACTGACATCAACCCTTGAATTGGGAACACATCCAGAGTCCATAGATGAGGTTTGGAAACCGATGGAGAACCTATATCATCGTTTGGTAGGCACAAGTAAGAGGCATCCTCCCGTTCCTCTCCCTCAGCAGCAAAGTGAAACGTCTGCATCCCCTCTGTACGCTGAGATCAGAGAAGTTCCAGAGGAAGTCGACGAGGAAGCTCTAGAAAGGTCTGCGGAGCCGCAGGATTACTTGGTCTGGCCTGAAACTCCCAAAAGGAAAGGCGTCCGGAAGACGGAAAGGTTTCCTTGGACGATGTCAAGTGGAAAATGGAAAAAGATGTCCCAGGAGAAAGAAAGACAGAAGAAACGATTGGAACAAGAAAAAGAAGAGAGGAAGAAGGTCAAAGAGGCAAAGAGAACTGAAAAACTGTGAGAAAACAAGAAAAGGACGAACAAAGGGGAAGTAGAGACAGTGCAAAGTAGAGAGTGGAGAAAGAAGACTTTCAGCCGATTTCGAGGAAAATTTCCATGAAGAATGGCATGGGCCTACCTTCGATGAACGTCTGAAAGAGGCCGGATTCCTCAATTGCGCTTCGTTTTCCTTCTTTTCTTGAGAGAATACATTTTCATTTTTTAAAGGCTTGTGGCCAACAACTGGATCCAAACTGGCCCAGTACTGGTGTAAAGTGGCCAAGAACTAGGTTACATTATTACAATTTTGTTTATATTTTATGATGCTTCAGAAATGAAGTGGAGCTTGTTGCAAGCTCGGCGAAGGGCTTAAGTGGCCAAAAACTGGGGTGTTTACCCTAGTTGCGGTTGAAAGGATGCCCTTCCACTGCACGGCATCTCCTTGGAGCCAAGTCCAGGATAATCTCCTCACAAGTCTGTACAGCAACAATGCAGAAAAGTGGGAGTGCATCTCCCGCTTCCCTTCGCACCGCTGGACCAACTGGAGAGTACACTTCCAGTCTGAACGACTGAGGCCCCAAAGTGAACTAAGCTGGTTCTTCACTTGAAGGCTCCTCAGATTATCAACGCGTTGCCGTCGTCAGTAAACTCTTTTGCGAGAGTCCCGACCTGTTTCTTTTACGATCACGGGTTGCTCCGTCAGTCACTGCAAGGGCAACACTAACAAACGCATTCGCAATATGTCTATGACGTGAAAGTTATTCAATCCTAGAATGGCACAAAATTGGCAGTTAAGGCACTGCTATTTTTTTATTATAGAAAATCAAACTAGGGAGATTACCATGAAATTCTAAAACAAGGATGCTTTGACGAAGTTCCTCACGAATACTAATGACGTGTCTGTACGAATGTAAGGAAGAGAGAAAAAAATTGTGACATTTTCTTTCAGTTCGCTATCAGCCTTCCCATAAGTAATAACGCCGATCAGTCATAAAATTTGCTTTGCTATTTACTTATGATCCTGACAGCTGACGAAGGCTGGTGTAGGCTGCAAGTGGATTTGTACAACCGAATATGTTCCGAGTTCAAACCTTAGTCCATAATGGGATGAAACCGGTAGGGTACAAATGGGGGGAGGGGGGAGGGGACAATGAGCAATGAGTCATTAGAAATTTGCCATTTTACTTTATCGCCATGTCCGTGTTATTTGCTGCGGGAATGGAAAGACTCGCAAAAACTGTCGAGTCCAATCATCCAAAAAAAAGAGCGTAGAGGGTAGATATAACCACGGTCCATAGATTTGTGCAATACGGTAATCCACTCATGCTTGAATGAGATGTGAAAAGCACAGTAGAAACGTATATAATTTTTAATTAGCATAGTGCTGTGCAACCTCGTTATGCCTAGCATGGACATCGACGGAAAAGAGCGTACTCAATGTGAGGGAAACGTTGAAGGAGGAGTTCCCTGCTGCTGGCAGCCACGTCACAGTCATTCTTCAAGAGCCAGATCATTTCTTGCACCCATGTCGTCCCTGTTTCCACGATAAACACCTAACACCCTCATCGTGGGATCGGATGGGATAGAGGCCCGAGTCCTACAGTAGAAGGGAGCGAACGAACCAGTCTTGGGATGCCCGAGGAGGAAGACGTCCGTTGAATAGAGAGGAAATTCCAGGAACTCCCTGAACCTTGCTTGAAATCCGACGGGAAGAATCCAATCCCTCGGCTTACCCAACACGGGGGGATGGGTGTATCCCTTGAAGTTCTCCAAGATTAGCTCACCTCGGGCCTCGTCCATCTCCTCCACACTCGCCATGGTCGGTAACAGGGTAGAGAAGGTGTCAGTGCCAGACCGAGACTGAAACTTCGGCGATGACGAGATTCGGTCGAACGCGGTGCGAGATGGGAAGGAAATAAGCCGTTGTGCCTCGGGGGGACTTACGGTCTGTCTCAAGGTCATCGACTGGTCTCATTCCGCATCCGGCTGTTATACAGGCCTCAATATGTCGAGTAAATCAAGGATTGACCCCTAGTGACCGCAATGCGATGCAGTTTGAGAGGGAGAGGAAACCATCGAACCGATTCGGGATTCTCACTCTTTCCTTCTCGAAATTGGGATGCAGACAAGTTCATTGAGCATCAAGTATGGCGTCACCTTTGAGGTGATGCCATATTTTGAATTTAAATCTTTCATGTCCAAAAGTTCCATTTGAGGCCACGGGCTTAAAGAATTCTCCTAGCCCCGCGAATACTATTTTATTTATAAAGGGTTAAATCGCACTTATAGAAGATTTGCAAAATTTTCCTCTCGAGGTAATATATCCGAATGAAAGTGCGCAAAGAATGAAAATTCCCGAAAACATAAATCTAGAGCTCAATTAAAGTACGGAGAGCCAAAAAAACTTCACATTCCTAGAATTTATTTTCCTATTTTCATGTCAGCCATATATTTAATATTAACACTAGAACTACCGAAGGTACGTGCAAACCTAGAACTATTTTAATACAACGGTCACCTTGACCGCTGTATTAAAAGTCGAGAAAAATCATTATTCTGACGTTGTTTTTCAAAATGTTCATAAACAACAAGATTAAATTTGAAAATAGTGGCATGTTCAAAACGTGGAATTTTGAAAAAGACAACTTCATCACTATCTTTGTTGTTGGGATTTTCTTCTACGAGAACCTAATCGATGATCAGAGTAATTTTCATCACTATCTAGTCCTGCCTCATTTTCGTCTCCAGATTCAGCTTCAGGTAAGTCTAGTAATAACTGGAAGCACTGCAGTGCAGTCATGCGGTGTTTTTTTGGTCTATTAATTTTCGCTACACAGGAGTTTCACGACAGGTGGGCAAAAAGTTGTAGCATAAACAAATCTCAACACGTCCGAAAAAGAATCCTGTTACATTGCACATAAGACGCATGCATTGCTCTGAAACTCAGCTTCGAACAAAGGCACGTGATCACAGCAGGTCGGTCACGTGATCACAGCTGGTCGAACGCGTGAAAACAGTAGGTCAGAGCTGCTCCCGAAACCAAATACATATTTCTCTATGGCGGTCAAAATGGTATTTCTAGGCATGCACATACCTTCAGTAGTTCTAGTGTTGAACGGCCGTTAGAAAATTTCAGTTGCGCTAACTCGTCCAGCACTACAAGCATTGGAATGCGCAAAGTTCCTTCAATGTAATGCAAGGTTCCTTCGAAAACGTCATTCTGCACTGCGCTGCTGCTTATGGGGCTTTCAATTGAGAAATTGCAAATAAGTCAGTTGTCGAATATGCCTTCAACGATCTTTCAACACGTCCCCGTGACAGCGATGGTGATTTTATTTATTTTAGTCTGTTTAATTCTCGCGTATCTTGCTTCAGAATTATTCTATTTTGATGCAGTTTTTTTTTTTAGCAAAAGAAAGCTTTTTCATCTTTTTAAGTATTGAAATAGTTATTTTTCAAAGTTCAGGATGAGGAAAGAAAATTTTACTATTAGATTTTTTACTTTTTTTGAGGCACCCAGTACTTCAGTACTTCAAAAGTGTACTTTGAGAACAAAGTTCACTTCGGAAATACTTACATATTCAACTATAGCGAAAAGTTAATCACTGTTGGACCGACCTGGGCGGAAAGGGAGATTCATTGCTCTCGTTCGTGGAGATACTGACCTGAAAAAGGACAAAGATTGAACTCCGTCCATTATTCGAGAGCTTCACTCCGTTCGCACTAGATGGCGAGAGGGAGAGAGAGAGAGTAGGGAGCGAATGCATTCGCGTTTCTTCAGTTCTCCAGAGAGATTTGATGCTGGAGAGGAGAATCTATACGTCACCGCACTCGCATAAGATCTTGTCAGAATCAATAACCGAGGATTTGAAAGAGGGATTATGTTACCGTGAGGACGAAAAACTGGCTGAATTCGAGGATACCGAGGAGAGTCGCCAATTCCTGTTACGGAAAATCCTTTTGAAGAATTCATTCACTATCTGCCCGCTCGGACTATGTGGGCCGCACACGAGTCGCCGACAAATTCAATCACGCCAGCTTAGGAGCGAGAATCTCATCCACCTCTGCTAGAGCAAATGAAGAAGGCCGGAAAGTGCATGCCTCAACAATACATTTGATGGAAGGTCTCGTCCAGTGCAACTATATCTTTCCAGGCCCCTTTTTAATCGGACGTAACGCTTGACGCCTACATGCAGAAATGACAATTTTCGACATTTTCGAAGTTGAATGCTTCTGCCTCTATCTGAGAAATTTTAACAGGCATTCACCGATGGATTCGGTCACTTTCGCGGGCGATTTTTCAAGTCGAATATTTTTTACATATTCGATTTAAAATATTGAAATTTGACTTTTCGCCCCTAGGGAATAAACGCTACGCATAATAGAATTTGTGCAAGGAAAGATATTATTGCACTTGCCGAGACCTTGCAGAAAAAAAAAAATTTAGCCGGAAAATACTGAGTAACGATTCGCATAGACTGAGAACTGTCCTTCATATCCTTCTAAAAGAAGGATTCCTCACGAACGACCTCTCTTAATCTCAAGTTAAGAAAGGGTAGTGCCCTAGACATTGCGCTTCAGTGATGTTTTTTCTCTGGCCTTTAGCTCTCTCAATCCAACAGTGCTTATAATGAAGGTGTCCAGGCGGCTGCTTGGGTTTTCTAAAAAGAAAAAGTGGGCTAAGTTCCCATAAGAGATGTTAATAAAGTCATTTTCACTGTCAGCGCTGTTTAGGATATGTTTCTAATAGATTACAATTTTAATTAATATTAAAAAAACAAGAATTTAAACTCATTCGCATCTTTTGGCAGTAAAAAAAATCATAATTTTGAAATGCCACGCTGAAAACATTATAGACCATGATCCGAATGGAGATCCAAATTCGACTGCTTGCCTTTTCACAACCGCGCGATCTCCTCAGGAGGAAGAGTAATGGATTTCGAGTGGTAGTATGCCCTGAGTGGAGAGTATCCCAATATTCATTTTCCAATGTCTTTGGTTTTCAGGAACTATAATTTGACATAGTAGCCCTGAAAACGACAGTCCATACTGTCTTGGAAGCAATAAATAAATGTAAATTTTATTTCATGAAAACCGAAGACGTATGGCAATAAAAAACAGTACACGCCATTCGAAGTCCTTTTTACGTGACAGCGAGACAAGGCAACGATGCGCTATTTACACTCTCTGCATCGTCACCGCCAGATATGGGGGTTCGTTCGCGAAGGGGTTCGTGGAGGCTCGGCTGCAGGTGGCCTGGCGATATGCAGGGACGACAGAGAAATGTTTTTAATCCATTCCTTTCCCGAGATAGACTCTCGTCTATTTCCCGCATTCACATTTTTGTTATGCAATGTCTCCATGACTTGCAGAACGGACAAGATGAATTTCGCACAAGTCGGCGTATGCACGGTTAAAAATAACCTAAGAGGCAAAACGAAAGAGTTGCCATGTGAAACGAGTCCTTCTTATCTATCATAGCTAATGAAATCAACATTCCTTCATGACTGTCACTGGCAAAATATTAGAAAAATCGCTTGACTTGTCTGCATCGGAGGTCATGTACTTCTCAGGCACTTGCGATGCTGGAATGAAAAGCTCAAGTATGAACGTGATGAACTCCTATGCAAAAGGACTTGGATAACAGAGATGGGTGCTTTTTCTCCTGATAGGTACGAGGGCCACTCAATAAGTTATCTACCTGAATATGAAAGGGATGAGCGTGGGCCTGTGCCTGCTGTGACATGTCTCGACAGGTCTCGTGAGTGCCCCACCACAATTCCAGCTCTGTGGCTCAAGTCCGTTCAAAGTGGTAACGCATTAGATTTCATTTCCTGAGTCTGTGTCATGGATTTGACGAAAGTCGAACATCGTTCAGTGATCAAATTCCTCACCAAAGAAGGGAAAGCACCTAAGGAGATTCATGAACGTATATCTAACGTTTATGGTGTGTCTTCGCCTTCTTATTACCAATTTAAATTTTGGAGCAAGCAGTTTAAGTGGGGAAGAGAGTCAATCGAAGATGACCCAAGGTCGGGGCGCCCTGTGGAGGCTTCTGATCAGGAAATGTGTGACAAATTGGAGAGTGCGATACTGGAGGATCGTCGCACCAAAGTCTCCGTTTTAGCTCATGAATTGGGGATTTCAGACGGCACAGTGATTCACATTATTCATGAAAAATTACACATGTCCAAAGTCAGTTCTCGATGGGTCCCAAGAATGCTGACTCCAGCTCAGAAGAACAGATCTGACATCTGCAAGGAAAACTTGGAGTTTTCTAAACAAATCGGGGAAACTTTTTTCCCAGAATAGTAACTGGTGATGAATCCCATCACTGGGATCCCGAAACCAAGCAGGAGTCCATGCAGTGGAAGCACGAGGGATCGCCAACGCCTCGCAAATTTCGTGTTCAGAAATCTGCAGGAAAGATTATGGCCACTGTGTTTTGGGACAGCGAGGGACTACTGCTGCTTGAGTTCATGCCAGACGAGTGTACAATCACTGGCGATTCATATGCTACCACCATGAAAAATTTACATGATGCCATCGGGGAAAAACGCAGAGGAAAGTTGTCAAGGGGGGTCCTTCTTCTCCATGACAACGCGCCCGTCCACAAATCATGGAAAGTTCAGGCAGCAGTGAGGGAGTGTGGCTTTCAAGAGTTCAACCATCCTCCCTACGGCCCGGATCTGGCTCCTAGTGACTATTTTCTGATCAGACACTTGAAAAAATGTTTGCGGGGAAAAAGATTTCCATGCAATGAAGAACTGAAAGTTGCCGTTTCTGATTGGTTTGATGGACAAGAAGTTGACTTCTATTCCCAGGGAATAAAATCCTTGGAATCAAAGTGGAATAAGTGTGTTGAGTTAAAAGGTGACTACATTGCAAAATAAAGTGTTATTTTTACCCTTGGATGTTTCTTTCTTATTCAGGTAGATAACTTATTGAGTGACCCTCGTACTTTTGACTTGCGTGGTAGAGGCATGGACCTCATCCGACGTGGCAGCTAGGCTGGCCCCATTTCCTCTTTCTGCAAATTTCTGCGGATATTTTCGAAGCTAAACGGCATCACACGATTGCAGACATTGGGTGGCAGATTCCAAATGAGAAGTTGGAGTTATGATTGTCGTTGGGCCATTCTGCCGTACGAAAACGAATTTAGCTCCCGCATATGTCGCGTTTCGGAAAAGTGATCAATCTAATCATTCAATATTCAATAACGAAATATGCTCAACCCCTTCTAGGTGTAACTTTAACACCTCATATTATCGCGTAGGTTTTATTTTCGCCATATTCGCGATTCAAAATAAACGCGAATGAAGGGGTCACGACTTGAAGACAGAGAACAAAGCAAACGCGATGCATGTCCCTTACATGCACACCCCTTACATGCTTGTAAGAGTCA